GTCGAACTCATCAGATCTTTACAAAATTTGTATAGGACTTCCTCGAAATCGACTGATTGAAACAAAAAATAATCATCAAAATATACATAATTATTGGCGTAATAGCCCTGTAGCATAGGTATATACAAAAATAAAGAGTCCAATTGAGAACTACTTTGATGTGTGAAATCGGTAAACGGTTGGTAGCTTAGTCGGTTTGTTCTACAAATAGGACATTTTAAGAATGAGAAGATAGAGACTTGGGACCTGTCAAGTATATTAGGAGAATGGAACAGAGGAAGTCACTTCAACCTAACTTAATACCTACCACAATATTTGTTTCTTAGGTTTTCACGCACATCACTCATTAAATAGAAAATTAAATAAAGTACTTTATTAACTAATAAATTCATACATAGACAATAAAATTTTAATAATCTTCCCATAAAATAACCGAACGCTCAATAAGTCTTTCGAAGGTAGCTCGACAAAATTAAATAAAAAATCATTATCTGACGATGCAAACCTGAAAAGGCTGCGAAACGTCAATAAATAAATAAAGTTTCGTGCATTAACCCGTTAAAACTAGTTTTATTTAATACCACAACAAAAGAACACTACCTTTTGATGGTGTTGTGTTTCTATTGGTGAGAAATTTTCCATGGCACCACGGGGTAGGGGTTATTGGGTCAGGGTAGGCAAACGGCGCGAATGATAGTTTTGGTATTGCAAACGATCTTTAAGTTGATCGATTACCATCAGACGGATAATTAAGCTTGTTTGTCGGCCCTTTAACATAAAAATTCACAGATCTCGTGCTGTACACAACTTGAAAGGGCATTGAAAATGAATCTACCTATTATAGATTATTAAAAAAACAACTTTCCAAAATAATTCTTACATCTTCTTAAAGCTCTTCAAATTCCGCGTCTTTTGAGCTCTCATACGACCTCGTGGCCCTAAACCTTGGGGTATCACGGGCGAGTCGCACTTTCAGCGAAAATGAGGGAAAATGGAGCGAACGAAAAAACAATTTTTAATGTTCAAAACCGTTCCATATATTAATGTTGGATCAGAGAAAGAAGATATTATTTTAAACTTTCATGGTCACTAACGTTATAGCTATTAACGGGATTGTTACCATGTACGAGTACCTTGTTTTTTATGAGTCTCCGATATTTCAGCACTGTTGCAAGCGCCATGGTCACGGAGTAACCCTGCCGAAATATCGGAGACTCATAAAAACAAGGTACATGGGAACAATCCCGTTAACAGCTCTAAGAGAAAGAAGAGTTATAAATAATACTCAAAGGCTAATTTATTGTTGTTCGTCCATAGATCTATCTATCTACTATTAATAGACCGTTTTTGATATTTCTTTTATACGAGTCGGTTTTCTTTCGGGATACTTCATAATTATTTTGTTAACATTAACAACGTTCTTAGGTCAAATAAAAAATTCAAGTTTTAATTAAGAAAAGGCATTTTCACCAAATTATTTAGTACGTTTTGATCCTTAATATTGCCACAAATCCTGAAATTAATCGCTTATCGATCGATTGACAAGTAAAGGAGTCGTATAGAAATATATCTGAATTCCGTAAAATTTGAAGTTTTTCGAATAAACCGGCTTGTCACGTATTAAGGCCGCTGAAAGCCTCAATTTATTACACGGTTTCGCTGAAAAATATAATAAGAAAGTATATATAAGTTGGCATGGTAACCAGAAGTAATCTTACCTTCCTTGAAAGGAAGCCATATAAATTGTATCAAAGCAAAATACCTATGTTCTTGCTTTATTCGAAATAACGATAGATATACCTATTAAAATAAACAATATTACGTTCCTAAGACAGATAATATACTTGAAAAAATGTGCGCCCGACCACATTATGTCTATTTTGTAAGTTTGGCAAATTTACATGAAAGTACTTATAATAATGTTTGTTAATCTATAGCATTGCTGTACTTATACCAATTTTTGCAAAAGACTCACCGAGTTTTGTAATAATTTCGCTCGCGCAAAATCCTTTTCCAATAAACGTGTCCCACAACAATATACGAGATGCCACTTAAGCAGTCCCAAATTGGTATGACACCGCAATAGTACTGCATAAATAACATTACACGGCAATTTCTTAACAAATTCCGGAGCCATCGAACTCGGTATCAATAAAATTGAAAATATTTCGCTCAGCATTTTCCTCATATTCCCGACCAATTGCTTACGGCTCCAAAAGGCAATCGTTGCAAAGTCTATCAGCGGAAATAAAACAAAAAATAAAACCAGATAGTATTGCGTTAAAAGGTGAAATGAAAAAAATACGTGAGCTCCGGCCAACTCAATTTGGCGTACAGAAGTCATGAACAGTTTTATTTCAAATTTCGTTTTTATGAAGCACATCAGATAACTGTAATAATTTGTAATTTATAACGAATATACCATGATTGAAGATGTTACAAAATGCTAACTGATCTTTTACCTTTATTAAAGAGTTACTCATTTGCAGGCTCACTAGCGTTAAATTCTTTTGCTGTTGTTATTATTATGTGATTTATGTTTGATTGAAGCTTATGTATTAATTAACTATAAAACATTATGGTAAGTTACCTAAGTGCTGTTTGATTTCATTTAATTTATTAAACGAGCCAATCGATAAGAAGTTCCTCACAAACTTGTCTAATGGTAATTCAACAATTGGCCAATACTATTTTTTATCGATGTTTTACGTCTCGTTGGCGTTCCACGTGCTCTTTGTCATTCACATTTTCTGGGCCCTCTGAGAAAGTTTTGTAGCTCTGAGAAATGTAGATTAAGTTCAAGGTAGCCTCACCATATGCCACAGTAATGAATCGGAATGCGTATACGCTCTTAATTTTGTTATAACTAAAAAACACACAGAAATGGTAAACCCATTTTAAGAATTTAAACCGATTTGAACTGTGCTTTTTAACCCTAAATCACCTACCTATATTTTTTTTCTTACCACTTATGTGCGCTCTCAGAGACCGCTGCCAGATTATGGATTGTCCTTTAATATCTATAGCAGTAATGAAATAACCGCATAAATATTTTCTACTCTAGAGCTCTATTTAAGAGCCATGTGGGAAAGAAAACATATATATGTGTAAATCTGATATTATACTTAACTTGCAGTGTCCGCGACTTCGTACGCGTTAAAAGAACAACATGTCACAATGTATGTATGTATGTCATTATGGGAGGTTACATGATTTAAATATTATTTAAAATTATAAATAAAAAGAAACTACTGAGTAATAATATAAAATGAAAAGTGCAACGCTTCAAAATTTACTTCGTAGCAGTTCGACACTATGTGATACATCCTAGAAAAGGTACATGGACCACACGACCAGTACACATAGAAAAATATTATTCTAAAATTCGATGCGGTCTCTGAGACCAATGGTACTTGTTAAGTGTTAATATATTTTATAGGCGCCGCCCATGCTCACGACAAAACATAAATTTTCTTAATTTCAATTAGAATCCATCTCTCCATTTAATACTTTTATACCCTCATGTAATATATTCCCTCTTACTACATTTGCCACAATGAGGAGTCATATATTATAACAATTAGTGAATAAACATTAGCTCACTTAAATCATAATAATCCCGAGTGAAACTGAAAGATAATTAGCAATTAATGAGGCCACTGAATAGAGTTTGGTTTTAACGAGACCAATGTTATTAATGATATTGTTTGAGGTCACGCATAATTTTGAGTTGATCAATTGCACTTTACAAATCCTATGTTAATGTTTTAACAAAATGGTTTGTATGTAGCGTTTACAGCGACTTTGCAAAAAGAATAGAGAGACAGAGAGAGAAACATTTATTTATCAAATTACAAAAACAAAACATACAAAAAAATATTTCTAAAATTAGACATAATAAAAAGAAAAGAAATGGATTTAATTAATATCATAAATGGTCAATCAGGGCCCAGCCTCAGCATAATGCTGCCGCAATACGTCAGAGTTTTTGGCGGGATTTCATCGAGGTCGGTTGGCGTCTTATTTTAATTATTCTTAAATTTGTTCATAGTGGATATTGTGAAATAAAATTGGTGTGATTTTGTGTTACAACCGTCTGCGCAACTGAAGAATTAGTGGAATCTTTAAAATATACGCTATTCCGGTCAAGTGAACGTGAGAACTTTATTGTAGTATTGACTACCTCACAGAAGCTTATCGAAAAAGCCAACTCGATATATTTCGTGCCAAATACTCCAAGAAGCATTAGAATGCGTCACACCCACATTCTAATGTAAAAGAAAGGAAGATTAATACAAAAATAAGACGATGGCTGCATGGCTTTGCCTTTGCCTTTCTCAATAGAGAAGAATAATAATAGAACTAAAAAAAAGCAATACGTCACCAAACCCGTCACAGAAGCGCTGGTATTCTGGCAGGGCCTATATGATATTATGTTTACACTAGTTATTAGTTCTAAAAACCAATTAAAACAAGCTTAGCTCGGAATTTGTACTTTATTTATTACTAGAGGTTGCGCGCGACTTTGTCCGCGTTACCTTTACTTTTTGAAAATCCCACAGTAACTTAACATTTTTCTGGAATAAAAGTATTCTATGCCTCAATCCAGATCATAAACTACATGAGTACCAAATTTCATCTACATCCGTTCAGTAGTTTAAGGTATTTCAATAAAATAATTAAAAGAGAGTAACTTTTTAGAGTATACTTATTGAATATTTAAACTAATGCAATTCTTTTATTATTCAATTCAAATTAATTATTAATGTTATTTTTTATGGGATAATGGATGAAATATATTAATTTAGACAGTAGATATTTATTTATATTACGTAAATTCAAGATAATTTTATTTAAATTGTATATTAGATTATTGTAAATTTTATTCATAAGAACACCAAGTATTGCGATACCCTGACAGGGTTCATGTAACCTACTTTATAACATGTATTTAACCATCTCTGTAATTACTTGAATGCAATATATGATTTGATACTCACCAAATAATGTGCCTGTATAACCACTGCTCTAAAAACTATGGAAGCGTCTTGGACACGCGTCTCTAGGGGCTTCTCGGCGAACTTCGGACACTGTCCATCACAAACTATTGTCCTGCACAACGATATAACTAACACCAACAAACAATTATTACTTAATCTACACATCGTTAGGTGCCACGCCATAATCACTTTTACTTCGAAGAGTTTAAGTTACATTTTCACATGGCACGTCCATCGCACGACAACACAGTGCTTCGCTCTCCGCTTCCTTTGACGTTTTCGACTATACATATTTTACCTGCAACAAAAGAATTACAAGTTAAAAAAGAAATATGCCATGCATAAGTTCATCAATAATAATTAATATATTTTTTTTTATCAAGATTAAGTACTTTTTAGCTAATATTAGGTACACCAATATCAACATTGACCACATCAATTACTACCAAATGAGCAATGGAGACGGCTCTGTTATGTTGGTTTTGGGTATTTTATCTCATTTGAATGTAAATGGTAACATTTAAAGAGTTACTATGGTGCTCGTATGAAATTTTATATCTACCATTGGCTCACCAGCTTGTTATAATTATGCTTTATAAATAAGAAAATGTTATCAGAAAAATTCAACTCGGTCAAGGTTTAACACAGGACTTGAACCTGCGTTTTCCACTGTGCGCTACGCTGCCGAGATTTTAATGATCGTGTCGAATTTCAGGAAGCATTTGTTAGACCACCCGCTGGTCTGGTCACAGGCGGATCCGATGCGGTTTCGCGCGAATCTATATGGGAATCGAGCGGATCCCAATCGCATACCCGCGTGAAAATTTTACAGAATAGCCTCACTGGAGAGGTGCGTTGAAGAAACTGAGAAGATATCAATTTAAGTTAAACTCTAAGTCCTATATGATAAATAAAAAAAAAATGGTAAACATGGGACAATATACAAATAACGCACAGTGCTGCGAAGCGGCCACGAGAGCCCGTTTTTTAACATTCTCACTTTTCAGGGAAGGCATAGGTTACAAAGCCCTTGGGGTGCTACGTCGGAAACCTCCTCGTGTGCCCGGTCCATTTCCTGTCCCTGGTCAGTTATGATAGGGGAACGGAAATGGGTCCGGGACGGTGCATCCCGGGCATCTGTGTAATGTCTCCCACTGAGGGTGCTGTTACGGAGGTGTCGAATAGCCGACAATCTCGTAACCCCGTACATAGTGCGGGGCCGAGGGCCGCCGGCTGCAAAGGAACTATTTCCTTTGGAGGCGGGGGCTGCGAGGAAGACAACCTCTCTAAAAAATGTCCCGGGGTGGTCTCGGCTGGCGTCCTGGATATCCCGGGTAGCGGTAGTCGAGCCAAACTCGTAACCCTGTACATAGTGCGGGGCCTAGGGCCGCCGTCTGCAAAGGAACTGTTTCCTTTGGAGGCGGGGGCTGCGAGGAAGACAACCTCTCTAAAAAATTACCCGTGGTGGTCTCGACTGGCGCCCTGGGTAACCCGGGTAGCGGCAGTCGAGTCAAGCTCGTAACCCTGCACATGGTGCGGGGCCGAGGGCCGCCGTCTGCAAAGGAACTATTTCCCTTGGAGTCGGGGGCTGCGAGGAAGACAACCTCTCTAAAAAATCACCCTGGGTGGGGGGCATAGAGTGGCCCCGGTGTCGGAAGGCAGTGCACTGCCTGGAGGAGCTCGTAACCCCGTACGCAGTGCGGGGCCGAGGGCCGCCGCCCTTTTCGGAGGGCGGGGACCGCGAGGAAGAAAACCTCTGTAATAAATTACCTTGTTGAGTCTTGGCCGGCGTCCCGGGTAGCCTGGGTAGCGGCGGTCGAGACCACTGGAGGGGCGGTAACGCCTGTGTTGGTGAGGGCGGTTGTGGCGCGAACTCCGCGCCACCTCCGGCCGACCCGTAACCCCGCACGTGGTGCGGGAACGGGGACTGCCACCTCTCGGGGTGGGAGTCAAAAGGAGAAAACCTTTTCAAAAATCATTTGATGAGGCCAGGTAGGGTCCCCTCGCCCGGAAGAGGGAAAAAACTTATGAAAATGTCCGTTCTTGAAGATTATTTGTCATGCTCTCCCGCTGACACCGGGCGCTCTGAGGTAGCTGGGCCTCAGAGTGGGAAATTTGTTACTAGCGGCTCATGCGCTCCGGCTGGCCACCGGCGCTGCGGGATTACCGGGTCCCGCAGTGTTAAATTTGTTACCGAGGCGTGCAAGGGAGATTTTAAGGATGGAGGTATACTTCGCCTTAGAGGCGGAGGTAATGATGATGGTGGACTGGGCCACAGACCTTTGCCACCCAAGGTAAGCAAGGGACGGAAGGGGAAGGCTGTGAGTCATACCCCCCCGGGTCCCTCTGCGGAGACCGGCTCGGGTGAGTCTGACCATGCGGGGTATCTCGCCCAGGACGCCCCCTTGAGCTTAATTAGGGGCAAGATAGACAGACGCCTGTTTCTCATCAAGAAAACGGCTGAGCAGGCGGGCATCGACGGCCAGACGCTCGACTTGATCGATGGGAAGATGTTCGAGCTTGGGGACTTGGTGGAGAGGATCCTCGTAAGGGCAGAAGCGGCGGAGCAGCTACAGGAGGTGGCAGAGGAGAACGCCCGACTCCGGGAGGAGAACAAGGGCCTAAGGGCTGATGTCGGGGCCATGAGGAGGGACCTCGACTCGCTGAGGAGGAAGGTGGAGAGCGGTACGCACCCCGCGCAAATGACGCATGAGGTGGCCGAGGAGCTGAAGCGCTCCCTTATGATTTCCATAGGGGAGATGGTCAGCACTCGGCTGGCCTCCTTCGCGGAGAGACTCCAGTTACCACCGGAGAGGAGTCCCAGGCCGCCACTGGCGGCGGATCGCGGCGAGGCGGCAAAGGTGGAGCAGTGGAGTGTAGTGGCTGCTAGGGGGAAGCCTAGGAAGGTTAAGGGTACGACTCCTACGGCAATCCCTGCACAGAAGAAGGTCGCGCAAACCGCAAGTGTCCCGAATAGAAGGAAGGGTGGGGAAAGGGCGCCGCGAATCAAGGTGCCGGCTACCGCCGCGGTAGAAGTGAAGTTGAGGCCCAGGGCAGAGGAGCTGGGTCTCAACCACTCCAACATTGTGGAGATAGCGCGGACGGCTTTCGAACTGCCGTCCGTAGGGATAGAGGGGGGCCTCGTTATGAAAACGAGCCAAAGGGGAACCAAGTTACTGCTCGTCTCAGGCCCAGACAGCAGAAAGAAGGCGGACGCCCTGGCCAAAAAATTGGGAGAAGTGGTCGATGAGTATGCCGAGATCGGTAGGCCTGAGAAGAGCGTCGACATCCGGGTGACTGGGCTGGATGAGTCCATCACCCTAGAAGAGCTCTGGGAGGCGGTAGCTAAGAAGGGGGGCTGCTCCACCCGGGAGGTGACGGCGGGGGGAGTGAACCCCGGCCCGGGAGGCATGGGAGGGACACTCGTCCGATGTCCCGCATGGGCCGCCAAGAAGGTGGCCGAAGGAGGGAAAGTCCAGGTGGGATGGAGCCTGGCAAGGGTGAGGGTCCTACACCGGCGCACACATTGCTTCCGGTGTATGGAGAGGGGACACGTGGCTGCAAGATGTCCGGCCAGGGAAGACCGAAGTGCACTTTGCTTCCGGTGCGGGGCAACGGGGCATAAGGCGGCGACATGCGCCGCTCCGCCACGATGCGCGGTTTGCGCGGCGAGTGGGCGACCGGCCGACCACAACATGGGGAGTGGGGGTTGTGACCCGCCGGTCACAAGGGGCAAACCCCCTGAGAAAGGGCCCTCTGAGGAGCCAGCGCCCGTACGGGTTCCCTCAGAGGGGGGGATGTCCGAGTAGCCTCGGCTGCTCGGACCCCCCCGTGGATGGTGTCGCCTGCGCTTCCCCCGTCTTCTCCCAGGAGAAGATCCAGGGAGACGTAGGCGACCGGGAGGGGGGAGAGGGACGGGAAGAACTACGCTTCCCCTCCCGGTCCTCCCTCCCAGGAACGGCGGCCCTCCTCATGTGGTTCTGTCCGCAAGGGGAGGGTGGCGGAGGGCTTTAGCTCTCCGCAGCGGATGGGGGGCGGTATGGTGGGCAGTAGGCCGCGTACCCAGCCCCCACGCGCGGGCCTACCTGCGCACGTCTGCGGGGTCCCCAAAATACCGCGGGAGACCCCTGCCGTGGAGCCCCGGCGAGGCCGGGAAGCTGCTGGGTGCGAAGCCGTGGTAGACTAAACGGGGACCCCGCGGCTTCGCGCTAAGCAGTGTAGAGGTATTCGCAGGACTTTTTTAGCGGATATTATACCGTAAAGCGCCCGTAAGAGTTGCGGGGTCCTCGGTGGGTAGCCACTGGGGGGTCCGTAAGACTTGCGGGAGCCAGGTGTGAGGTCCGTTCGGCGGTGTGCCTCTTACAGGCGCCGTCGTCTGTAAAGAGATTTTTTACCTGTGTTAAAAAAAAAAAAAAAAAAAGGTTACAAAGCCCTTGGAGCCTAGTCTTAAGTTTTTTTTTTCATTTTTTAACTTAGGATGTCCGTGTTCTAATGTTTCTTGGAGTGATTGGTAAGAAATGTATCGAGTTAGCTTTTTCGATGAGCTTCTGTGAGTGAGCCAACACTACAATAAACTAACGAATTTAAGAATAAATAAAATAAGATGCCTACAGCACTCGATGAAATCGCGGCATAAACTCCCGCCGGACGACTACCCCGCAGGGTTGCCAGAGGTGATTTTTTAATTAACGCCATATTTAAAATTATTTTACGCCAAAATTATATATTCAGAAAATATCGCCACATCCTGTTTTGGCAAATAAATGGATTTATTTCAATAATTTATTCAAAAAGTTAAAATTATGACATACAGGCCGGACATATTCCTCTTTTCTAGTCACATCAATCATATAGTACTAATAGACCTTACTGTACCCTGGGAAACTAACATTCCAAAAGACCAAATAATAAAAATTGAGTAAATATTGCTTGCGATCTAACTAAAGAACTAACTAAAAATGGCTATCCAGTTAATTTATATGCGGTAGAAGTAGGAGCAAGAGATATATCAGCAAAATCTCTCTATAACCTTCTAAAAGACCTGGGTCTGTCGAGAAGAGCAGTAAGTTCAATTATGGTACGAGTAACTAAGGCTGCACTGACAGGCTCCTATCAAATTTGGCTAGGAAGGGCGGGCAACTCAAGCAGTGAAGGTGAGCGTTGATGCGCATCTTAAAGGGGGCCTCCTTAAACCTACACCTGGGTCGCAAGTCCCGTGAACTGCTCAGAGTTTCTCTCTCTCCCAAACGATAGATCCGACACCCGCACGGTGAATGCATGGATTGCTAAGAAGGTCGC